CTGTGCAATCAGGAAGGGAGCTGGAAAGAAGCCAGAAAGCTAGCGGAGTGAAGTGGCCACTTTTTTTTAAAGGGAGAGAGACCACACCACAATGGGCTGGTATCTCAGCCGCTACTGGCTAAAGGAGAGGAAGGAGCTCCCGCAACAGAAGTCTAAAGCTAGTTTCTTTGCAGGAAAATCCTTAGCTATTGCACAATTGATAAAACCACGATTGCCTACACAGAAAATGCATTTTCTGGATGCCATCTTAAATAAGAATACCAAAACACATTCCCTGTGCTTATGTAGAGCCAGAAAGTTTGTGACCTTGAATTTTATCATATGCTCATCCCTAGTTCTTAATAAAACACCCTCTTCAAAATCACCTTACAATTTCACTTACAAAAGAAAATTTTGTAAGACAAATACATATTAAAATATCTCATGTATTTTTAACTTTTAATTTTCTTAAATTTTCTGCTCCGCTTGCTCTTTTAGCTTTGTTGCAAATTTCATCCCTTAAGGAAGGTAACCTAGAAAGTATGGTATCATTCACAGAGTATCGCCATTGTAGTTTTGGTTACGGGCCAAGGCTTTAATAGCTGATCTATCTCTCCACCACCTAAAGCCACTCTACAAACTCTAAGTGCCTCTCTCTAGCGCCCCACACTCAGACCTTAGGGGTTGACCCTGCCCTTTTCTTAGATGCGTCTCTGTAAGTAAAAATCTCACTAACTTTTTTTTTACTAACTTTTTTTTTAACTCCAGATCACCCCAAAATCTTTTCTGCGTTCTAGTCAAGGATCAGACTTACTTGGTGGGCTAAAGCTGGAAGCCCCTATGGATCCTGGCTGGCAAGGGTGCTGGATCTTCCAAAGCCTGCTACCTCTGACACATTATGACACATAATAGGATTTAGTCCTCCAGAAAGAGAGGAATATTGACCATAACTGAACATGAGGATTCCTGTAATATCAGTTCCAGATTTTACCTCTGCATGAAATTTATCCGGAGAGATTGTGGTTGGAGGAAACATTAAAACACACTTTTGAGAAGTGTGGTTCCTTTTACCTTCCTGCAATGTCTAATGAGAAACAAAAATGCCGATGGATAACATTAGCCCTGTTTGAGCTTCTGCAGTTGTGACACCGGGCTTCATATTGCTCTCTGATATATTAGTATTTTTGAACAGTAAAATTGCTCTCATAATTTTCTTATTTTACAAACTTAGATAATGACTTGGCAGATTCAATTAAACACATTGCTTTCACTGAGTGTAAAATTTCAATTGAGTTAATTAATACTTAGAAGAAGTCTCCAAAGGAGGTCTGAAGGTGAATCTGGCAGGTGATATCATTCGGGACTGAGTTCTGTGTTCGTACAATCTGTCTGTCTCCCACAGATGTAATGAACCAGACAGGAATGAGTGTTGGCAACAGCACCAACTTGCTTGGCTTGCTGTCACTTCTCTTGGTGCGGCTGTTCACTTCAATTCAGTTTCCTATTCATGGGAATCTCTCCCTAAATCTGCTGCTCCCTTGTACCTTTCGTGGATCTCTTGATCTTCCCAAGCAAGGTCTATCATCGTTGTCCTTTTCTATGGTCCATGTTATTAAGCTTCCGTGTCAGATATGATTCTTCAATAAGGCTTAATTTAGTGGACATTTTAATTTTATTATTATATATGAAAGACCAAAAGCCAGCATTCTTAAAAATAGCTATTCAATTGATATCTTCCTTTTAATTTCCTTTCTTCAATTAAATTTATTCTATTAAAGGAAGCTTTTAAATGCTGCTCTCACTTGGATTTCTTTCTGCTTACACTACTATTATTGTTTGTTTTCGTATTTGTATGGCTACCGCTACATACAGAGGCCAGAGGTCAAACTAAGCTCTCATTCCCCTGGCACCATCCAGACATACATATTTGAGAAAGGACTTCTCTAGAGAGCAGTAATTAGGATACCCTGGATGGTCTATTTGGCAAGTACTTTACAAACTTAGCCATAACCCAGTCCTGAAAATATTGCTGAGCCTCTGCCATAGTCCAGTCTTTAAGGGGCTTTTAGTCTGTGCCTTGGTCTCAAAATCTGGCCTTAAGACTTTCTTTTCTTTAGCTAAGTTGCCTTTCCAATAATTGTCCACTTCCTGTGACCGGCTCTGCTCAGGGGCCTTCCCACCTCACGCCCTCCTCTTTTCTGTGTTGATCATTTTACTCTCTTCAGAGCTCTAACTCATCCTTTCTTCTGCTGAGTGTCACTCACAGATGCCGCGGCCTCTTTGTAAGGCAGGGTTCTCCTGATTATATTGCTTTTCCTTCCCCTTTGGATTCTGCGCAGCGCTGTTGCGATGGCAATATGCAGGACACCTTTAGTTACTAAGAGCAGAGTGATGCTGACATCTTGTTGGGTAGCTCTGCTCTGTCTTTGAAGAAGGAAGTGTCAATAACAAAGTAACTGGAACATAAATACAATGTGAGCTTTTTGCTAGGTTTCTGTGTCTGTATTTTATCTATTCTGCTTTAAAAAGAAAGAAAGAAAGAAAGAAAGAAAGAAAGAAAGAAAGAAAGAAAGAAAGAAAGAAGAAAAGTAGTGCTTGGTTGCTTCAGTGATGAAAAAATAGAGCTGAATTTGTGCATCTAATGTATATAGATACAGAGAAAGAACATTGCATTTGAGTTTCCCTTTGACAACCTATCCTGACATAATTCCTTTAATGTCTGAGACATTCTGAAGAAGCAAACATCACAGGATACAGGTTTTGGAACAAATACTAAATAGTGAAAGTGTGACAGAGTTTCCTCCATCTGGTATTCTTACTGAGTCCCTTTGAGGTTGGCAAGAATTTGACTTCCCCAACTCTATTCCGGAACTTGAGGTCAAGACAGCCCAGGTAATTTATCTTGCCTTCCATTAAGCTGCCTGCTTGTGTAAATATCCACATCCAGATAATTGCTTATCTCATTGTCTGCTAAACCACGTGTTTGCACAAAGCCTCCCCTGAAGCTTCAGAGAGAGATAACAGGATATATATTCCTGCCTTTTGCTCTAAACACTCAGGTCTACACTGGGGGCCCATAATACCTGGGTGTAGTCCCAACAGGCTAGAATAAAGACTTTAGCTTAGCTATACACTGTGTCTGAGTGGTCTTTGGTGGAATCCCCATAACAAATGGATATAGTAAGGTTGATATTTTATGAAAAAATGAAGTGAAACTGTTAGGCCTCCCTTCACTTTCCTTCCATGCCCTTCCTTACCATCATTTTTTATAATAATAGAGGACACCAAATTATTGATGGAGGCCAAGGAAGCATAACATGTCATGAACACTAAATAATTTCTGGGTACACAAGCAATAAAACATAAGAGGTTTATTCTTTCATCAAGCAGTGACAACAGACGGCATCCACATGGTATAAGCATCTAAAGAAGGATGTACATGTACAGACAGACAGACTCCAAATCATTAACACAAAGACATTGCATGATTCATGTTCACAGGGGAGGGAGTTACTAAAGAGTAAAACAGACTCCGTCAGTAAAAAGACAAGCTGATTTTTGCTGCTTAGTAAATCTATCTCCCTTAATATTTCCTTAAACTAAGAAGAAATCTATTATCACACAGCCCAGGGTGCTATATACACGTAAGAGAGTGCACGCTATAAAATTCCAGATTTCTATGCAGTTTTACATAGTTTAAACGTGAGTAAAATTTGTATTTCAAAAAAGATCTTATTTGATTACTTTCAGCAAATGGACATTATTTCAATAGTTCATTAGGAGATTTAGCAACAGTGATAAGAAGAAAAATAAGTAGAAAAGATTCTCAAACCATCACTAGTCCCTTAAATAGTTTTCTCCTATTCCAATAGCCCAACTTACCGGTATTAATCTATTTCTACTCATCTTCTATTTTCCCCTTTAGTAAAAAGGAAGAAGGCAGTCAGTTTTACTTGTCTAACAATATCTCAAGAGGCTCAGTTGGGTCACAGCTAGGGCACACAGTTAGAGACAAGGTACTTTAGGATATGAAGGAGTAAAAGTCCTTTTGAAAAATGATGACGGATGGGCCTTTTTGATAGATACGTCTGAATAGCAAAAGCAGTGGAGAAGTTCACCTCTCCTCTCCACGGTGGCCGGATCTTATCCCGTTTCTGGTAAACAGCATCCATCTTATACGGGTCAACCCAGGGAATGCTGTAGGTAACGACACTATGGAGAGGAGCTCCAGTTCTGTCTCACTGTCAGTCTGCCTACCAGCAGTTCTCTCTGTGCAAATACAGTAATGCTCCTTTCCTAAGCTGTGCAAGTTCCTGACTTCTGCAGCGCTGGGCTACTTAAAAGGGTCAATCCTGGTAAGAAAGAATGTAACCTCGGTAAGCAGTTGAATTCCCAGATAAACTTACACCGATACTATAATGCACTCGAGTGAATGAAAGTAAAATGTGTACACAATACATTGCAAAAGGTTTGACCAACACATTTTTCTCCCTTCCTGTTCATTTTCTATAGCAGAATGCATGTCGTACACTGTGCAGTGAGTGCTGGATAGTTTCCCATCTGTAGCCGGCCCAAGGCCAAATTATGCCTTCGCGTGGCATTTCATTGAAGGTCAAACAAATGCCTGAAGACAGGATTTGGCGCAAGATATAAACATTTCTTAATGACCATAGATTCATAGCTATGAGATTGCCCAATATGCAGAGTTTAGTCTTCCTTTTTCTCCTATGACATTTCCTTCAAGGCACAAAAGATTATAAACAGTCGACGGGACAGAGTATTTTGAGTTGAGAATTTTAAGGTTCCACAAGACCTTTTATTTCAGATATAAGCATAGCAAAAGGACAGAGAAAAAAATAAAATGCCTTAAAAAATGACATGATGCTTAGGTCATCTGAAATTCCCTGCAGTTTACTTTTTTTTAAAAAGAATTTTAAATCTCATTTTACTGGTTTAAAATATAGTTACATGTTTGATTTTTGGGAGTGCTGTAATTTCTAATTAAATATTGTGTGAAATGTTCCTAATCAGCCAATATTATTGTAAAAAAAATCTGGCTTAGTTTGACAAACAGAGTGGGTTTTTACTAAGATATAAACATGAAAAATTTAACTAGTAATTGAAATAAAGATCGTGTGTAATGTACTGTAAAACTCTTCCTCCGTGATTACCTAATGGGGCTCTTTAGGCATCTCCAACCCAAACAACGGTATTTCCTTTCTGAACTTCGGTGATCTCACAGTTTAACTTATTAAGGCGACCATCCAGAATGAAGAGAGAATCCTTGGACGGGGTCATGAGGTACTGTCCGAACAGTCCACTGCCTTGGATGTGCCTGTTCTTTTGACTCCAGGGCCACTCTTCTGCCTTGAGGGGTTCTTTGAGACTTTTGATCATCTTGACCTTCCCAGAGGCGAGCTCCACAAAGAGCACGTCGGTTTGCTGACTTGAGCTTCCATAGATGTTGTACTGGTGGGCTTCCGTGAAGGATGGCTGGAAGGCCAGGTCAGATATGTGCAGGTTGGTGTGAATCTCAAAAGCATCCAGGATCTCTCCTCTGATGGTGATGTACTGGATTCTCACGAGCCCTTTCACATCATTAACGCTGACAAGATAGTGTCCATCTGGCGAGATGTAAGGGGTGCCTGTCACGTCACCGTTGAAGCCGATGATTGAATCAGTCACACTGTCCACCACGAGCTGTGGGGGAAGGGCTCCAGTGATGTCGGGCTCGCAGCTAATAAAGTAGTAGCCTCCCAGATGGGTGTATGCCAAGGATCGAGGAATGCACCTTGAATCTCTCAGGTTGATTGTTTTGATGTAAGACATGGTTTCAAGGTCAATTTTATGCAGTGCTGCTTCATCTTTGTGAAGAATAAATCCAAACCTGAAAAGAATAAAACCGAAGTTAGAAAGGAAGTTATAGAGTTGTTACCCAAAGACAAACATTACGACAGAAACAAGGTCCATCCCAAAGCAGGGTCTTGACTGCTATGGCGAAAATCTACTGTATAACACAAATATTAGAATTAGTCTTTAGTGTGTCCTATTCCAATGCTTTCTTGCAGTTATTTAATCTTTCTTTATATCCAAATAATTAGAAATCCTGCTGAAATAATTTAAAGTGACCCATGTAGTTAATGTAAACAACCACTTTTATTTTTAACATAGAAGAAAAATGAAATATTGCTTTAATGTCTCTAAAGTTAATACTATGTAAAACTGGTAAACTGATACTAAGGCTACAAATAATAAACAAATTTGAAAGAGGGATGGAGGTCAGAGAGACCGAAGGAGAGAGAGAGAGCCTATTAAACAAGATTCTAGCCTAAAGTTAAGATTCAGGTTTTGATATTAATAATATTGATAGTATAACTTTTTGATAGTTCTAAAACCTCTTAAATTAAAGGTCAGATAAATACTGCTCTCTGTACCTATGTGAAGAAAATAGAAGATTGTATTGCTTTAAGATAAAATAAATCAATATAGGAGATATAAAGAGGAGGATTAGGAAAATGAGACAAGGCAATACAGGAGAAGAGAGGAAGAAAAAAATCACACTAAGAATGTTTTAAAATGGCATATGGAATAATTATTTTATATTCACCTAAAATTTAATGACACACATATATATTTTTAAAATAATTCCAACTATATCTTACTATCAGGACATTAATATTAATAAATTCATAGGTTTATTATAATAAAAATTTTATAAATCAGAATTATGTATGATTATGGATGAAAAGGAATAATCTAGTACAGAGATTTACTAAAACTCATGACAGTTTCTACACTTTTTATATTGCATATAACTGGAAGTTTTATATGAAAGAGTTAAATGTGCAGAAAGTCCTTTTAAGAGATTTGTAAATATTTATTGGAGAAGGTGTTGCAGACATATTGAAGATCAAGTGTTCCTGACTTTAATAAGCCTAGAAAATTAAGCTAATAAAAATTTGAAAATTTATATGTGATTAATGCTTTGTCTGCTGTCTCTGATTTAACAGCTATTATCATCTCTGGGTACTTGAAGTAATACAATAGAAAACAGCATTTCATTATAAAGAATGATCAAAAATAAGGAACCCAGTTTGACTGGAATTGGCATTTAGGTTCAATGTGAACTATCCAGTACTTAACTGTACACGATGTGTAGTATCTATTGACCTGATGAAGGAAATGGAAAGGAAATTAATGTCCTGTGTCCTCAAGAAAAACTTTATTCAAGCAGTGGATGCTTCTAATTGTAATCTCAACTTTCTAAGCAGGGTGTCAGAGCTTCAGCAGGGACAGAAGAAGGGACAGATGTAGCTACATTCCTGATTTGACTACTGAATCACGTTTCTGTTTTCCCGGGACTCTTCTGAAGATTTTATATTACCCTGCATCCCAGAAGGAAAGCACAATTTACAATTAGAATAAAAAAGAGAACAAAATAGAGCAATTGTTTTCAGAAAATAGAAATCCTGCCACAGGGATAGGATAGCCAAGTAATATGGGGACTATATTAATAAAGCTGTTCCATGCCAGTTCCTGAGAAGACGGAGTTACATGCAGATTTGTGTTTTGTGCAGAGCTGTGAATTTGATAGGAAGAAAGAATGGCTTATACACAAATCTACAGATAATGAGCCGAGAGTGGAAACAGTATACTGGGGTCTCATTATTTTGTATAGATTTTTTTTCTGCCAGGTTTTTCATTCGTCAAACCAATAAGAAGTCATCTTTCTGGAACTTGAGAATAAACTCACATAAAGAACAATGTTCATTCACCCTTGGTTCCTATCTGATCTCAACCATCAAACAATCCTCCAAATGAATGAAGCCACATAAATAACAAGTTGTTCAGTGATTAATTAAAACACCGCAGACAATGCTATAGATTTCTTTGTAAAATTATGAAACAGTGAAATAATTTTACATAAAATACCATTTGAATGTATTCCAAATAAAAAGAAAAACAAAAAGACACAAAAGGAAAGGTATATTTTACTTTATATAAATAAAAATATAAAATCACACTAATATCTACTTTGTAAAAACAAGACAAAACAAAATGAGAAATTCACGTTAAATATGAGAAAGGAGTTGAGTTTAGGGATGACAGAAAAGAATTAAAGTAAAATTATTTTAAAAATATTTACAATAAAAGGATGATTTACAAAATGGAGGATCATTCTATGTTATGAAATAGGTTTAATTAAATATAAAGTTAAAAGAATAGTCGTATTTTCAAGACATACAGACACACACAGGGTTGAAAGATGTGGTTCAACCGTTTGGTAAATTTTGTTCTAGGGGGAAAAATTGAAAAAAAATCTCTTTAATGACATTTTCCTTCAAAAATATCAATTTAGCAATTTTATAAAATAAATAAATAAATATATGTATGCAAAAATATATGCACTACATACTTAGGTTTATACATACAGTATACTCCACTGAGAAAATCTGAAGAACATCAAAGCATTTTTTTCTAAGCGAAAAATATTGCAATCATTCAGAAGTAGATTTACATCCTATATATTAATGTAAAATCATACTCTAAGTGTTATTTCATGTTATAGACAAGATGCAGACTACATGCCTACTATGGTAAGCTTAAGCCTAACATGATATGAAAATGTGTATTTTACACAAATGAAACCCACAGAAACAGCTGACCAGAGCTGCTGGGAGCTCATGCGCTCTGGTTTGACAGCTGGGGAGCCTTCATGGGACCAAACTAGGCCATCTTAATGTAAATGACAGTTATGTGGCACGGTCCTTTCATAGGATCCATGGCAATGGGACCAGGATTTATCCCTGGTGTGTGAACGGACCTTTTGGTGCCCATTCCCTATGGTGGGATACCATGCTCAGCCTTGATAAATCGGGGAGGGACTTGTGCCTCAACTTGGTATGCCAAGTGTTTCCTGACTTCCCACAAGAGGCCTTATCCTCTTTGAGGAGTGGATGGAAGGGTGGTGAGCTGCAGTTGCGGAGAAGGAAAAAGAGGAGAGGGAGGGAGAGCTGTGGTTGTTACGTAAAAATGAATTTAAAAAGAAGAAAAAGAAAAACAGAAATTATATTCAGTGAAATCTGAAAGAATGACAAAAATATTGACAGGAAGACATCAATATTCACCTACATCATTACTAATTAGTGAGAATTACAGAGTAATTACAAAGTAATTTACAAAGCACAGTAAACAAGTGCTTATTCCCTTCCAGTGAAAGACATTCATGGCCTGTAACATCAAGATTCAAATTCTATAAAGAATTAGGTGAAATTAAATCAATGCCAAAGAATTTCATGAATTCGTTGGCAATAATAGTAAAAGATGCCAAGATTGAGAGTCACTGTTGATGTGGATGAACTGATGTTCTCCGATACATTTTTAGAAGTATAATAATTTTAGGCTTCCTGGAGAATAATTCAGCATATTCTTTTTTATATTTAGATATATATTTTAATTACTTTATAAATAATACCATTCAAAATTTCCACTTCCTTCCCTCCTCCCACTTCCCTCCCGCTCCCCAACTCTCCCTTCTTTCTCCCCCTCCAGTCCTAAGAGAAGGCAGGGTACCCTGCCCTATGAAAGTCCAAGGCCTTCCCCCTCCATCCAAGCTTAGGAAGTTAATTCAGCATATTCTTGTAAAAGTTCAATGGGTATCTACTTTAAGAAAGCAATAATTATTCTCATTTCTTTTTCTTAATAAATTCTCACAAGCACAAGTATAGTCACTACAGCAATGGCTTCAACAAGGATTTGAAGGATTTTGTTTTTAAATCTAAAGATCAAATATCAGAGGAAAGAATGAATTATATATCAATGAAATTCTATACAGAAGTTATAAAAATCATAATATGTAATACTGATAGAGGTGTTTACATTTTATTTTAATACTCATTTTTTAATGTGTGTGTGCGTGAGTATACAAGATTTGTGCAGAGGCCTGCAAAGATCAGGAGAGGGCATCGGATTGCCTTGATTTGGAGTTATAGGTAATGCCTGTGGGTGTCATCAACTCAACCTGGCTCCTCTTCCAGATCAGTAAGTGCTCTTAAATACAGTCATCTCTCCAGACCCAGATGGTGATTTTTAAATGAATACAATCTATATTGGAAGGAATATTTTTAAAGATTTACTTATTTGTTGTGTATACAGTATTCTGCCTACATGCATGCCTGCAGGCCAGAAGAAGGCACCAGATCTCATTATAGATGGTTATGAGCCACCATGTGGTTGCTGCGAATTGAGCTCAGGATCTTTAGACAAGCAGGCAGTGTTCTTAATCACTGAGCCATCTCTCCAGCCTAAAAAGAATATTTTATAAAGTACTCAGGCAAAGTTTCTTCAATAATTGATGTCAAGGATCATTCAAAAATTGCTATTGCTCTGAAGATAAAAGTTCTATGTGTCCTTCAGAGAAATAAATTTTTGATTATTACTATAGACATTTCTGAATTGTTTGTTGCATTAAAGGACCCAAATACATAAAGAAAAATTTTCACAGCCAGGCAGTGGTGGTTCATGTCTTTATTCCCAGCAACTGTGAGGAAGAGGCAGGTGGATCTCTGTGAGTTGGAGGCCAGCCTGGTCTACAGAGCAAGTTCCAGGACAGGCTCTAAAGCTACACAATGAAACTCTGTCTCAAACAACAACAACAAAAGAGAGACAGAGAGACACAGAGACACAGAGAGAAGAGAAGGGAAGGAAAGGGGAGGGGAGGGGAGGGGGGAGGGGAGGGGAGGGGAGGAGAGGAGAGGAGAGGAGAGGAGAGGAGAGGAGAGGAGAGGAGAGGAGAGGAGAGGAGAGGAGAGGAGAGGAGAGGAGAGAAGAGAAGAGAAGAGAAGAGAAGAGAAGAGAAGAGAAGAGAAGAGAAGAGAAGAGAAGAGA